TCCTAAAACAGGAGTCAATTTGTACTTTAATATTTCACATGTTAAATTGCCACTGTGAGGTGATTAAGAGACTAATTAAAGGGGGAGAGAGATGAAAAAATAAGATTGTAATATAGCCATGTATCCACAAATATTCTTCTGCTAAGTGCTACTTATGGGTCGGATACGTTAAGATATCACACTCTGAAATACAATAAAGTATTGCAAAGATAGCTGGTGGTTAACTTTTACTGAACCATTCTCACAGATATATGTTCGTAGATCCTTCTCTACTCATGGAGGTTTTCGACACGTTTTTTGACATCATTTTCTATATTTATCAAGTTATTAATAGCCCTTGTGATGTCTTGATGTTCTCAATGGATCTTCAGCACCACTGTCGCAGGTGTGGAGGCTTATTCTGCAATAGCTGTACCCAGCTAAGGATGGTGTTACGTGGACAAGGTGACTCACCATTGCGTATTTGTGAACCCTGCAAAAAGTTAGAAGAGGCAGCACGATTCAAAATGCGGCATGGGCATAAAGCTAAAGCTGGAAAAGGTATGCTTTTTTAGATTTGTTGTTGTCTGAGGTTTAAATAATGGTTCCGTGCATAGCCGCTCAAGTTCTTTTATGTGATGTTTCTTCTAGTAAATGGAAAGCTAAAATCTTGCTTTGAAGTTCTGGGTGCTGCATAAATTCCACTTCTTTTTCTGTTTCCTTTGTTCATTTCTAAGGAGCTCTTTGCTATTATCCTTTAATATAAGGATGCGTGCATTGCACTATATATGAATTTAAAAGGGATTCCTACAATTTTATACAAAAAATAAACTACTCGTGCGTTTTTATGTATGTTAAGTTGATGAGAAGTGTCACACTATCACTTTCTAGTTTAAGAAAAGGGCAGAGGTGACATTGAAAAGTAAGGTTAGCTAACTTTTCTCTTCTATTTGTCATTTGACTTTGAGTTGAAAGAATTAGGTAAATTGTGGTTGGAATAACATTACAGATTAGAATGTATTTTTACACTAAGATTTTAGTTTTTAAATTTGTCATGAGACCAAATATATTACTAAATGGTAATATTTTAGTGTTGCAAGGGTGTGGATGAAATGGTAAGCTCTCAGTGATTTAACAAGTCCTGGTGGCAATCACTCTCGCATAAGGAACAAGCTTGCCAATACTTTAGAAGGAATTAGCATTACATTTGACATTTACCTAAAAGATCCGTTTTCGTATCCCTTTCTTTCTTATACACATGGTAAGAACGTTGACCATCTTTCAGAATGAATTTCTCAATCTGTTCTTCATGAGTAGGTTATAATGGAAAAAGATGACCCAAGCATTAAGTGTATTACGCGATTTGATAGCAATAAATGATTCGGCTTGTTGAATAAATTTTGCTGTTCTTTGTATTTCAGTGATAAAGATAGAATAAAAAATTACCCTATGTTATACATTCTACAATGCCTGAATCCTCAAGTTTCATTGTCTCTTCTTGATCTCTTTAGATATTTGATTTTTACCTGATGAGAAGATAAAATAAAATAAAAGATCTCTTTGGTTTTTGAGGATTTTTATGATGTGTTGACATATTATATCTAGAATTTCGTTAATTAGTCATTGATTGCTTGAAAGAAAGATGTGTGTCTATCAAAGTTTGAAAGTGGAAAGGATCAAGTTTTAGACCTTTTTTCCTCTACAATCTGCTGTTTCAGTATTTATTTTTCATTTTAAGAAAAGAGGTGAATGCAAAGAGGAATGCCTTGAAAATCGAGATGTGGCACATTCCAAAATGCTCTGTGATTCAATAAATGGGATAGCTATACTGTTTCACATAATGTAGTCCACACCATATTGCTTTAACTCCTTGCAGATGGTTCCAAACTTGCATCAAATAAAGAGGATGAAATTTTGAATCAGATTCTGGCTAATGAAGATATGCTTTCTGGTCCACAACTGACAGGCAGCGCGTCATGTTCGAATGTTAAGGAAACATCCACTGCGAATGGAGGAGATATAGGTAGAAGTATTTCTTTTGATCAGCCTGCTCAAGCTTTAGCAGAAGTGGTATCTGCTACTCCTGAAGACTTGCGTCAACAAGCCCTGGTTGAAAAAAAGAGATACAGAACTTTGAAAGCAGGAGGAAAATCTGAAGAAGCCTTAAGATTTTTTAAACAGGGAAAGGATCTTGAAAGACAGGCCGGAGCTTTGGAGTTATCTCTGAAAAAAAGACGTAGAATGGTTTCCTCTTCCAGTTCTATGAATGAAATTCAGCAAATTAAAGATGATTCTACATCAACTGGTGAGAATAATAAGCTCCCCATTCGGAAGAGCAAAGAAAAGGATGATCTTGCTTCCGAACTCAAAGAATTGGGATGCTCAGATGTCGACCTTCTTGATGGTGAAAGGGGGCAAGCAGTGATGAGTTCGGAGGGTGAGTTTTCCTCACTTCTTGAAGAAATATCTCAAAATCCTAGTACGGAGAAGGGAGTTGTTGGCACTGATAAGTCTAAGGTCATTGCTCATAAGAAGTTGGCTCTCGAGCTGAAGCGTGGAGGGAAACTTGCTGAGGCCAAAGAAGAATTAAAGAGAGCGAAAATTCTTGAAAGGAAAATTGAGGAAGAGGAATTTTTGGGTGAGGCCAAGGATTCTGATGATGAACTTTCTGCGTTGATATGTAGCATGGATGATAATAAGCATGATGATTTGTCGGCACAGTTTAAACACAATATTAATTTTGATTTTGATAACTTAGTTGGCATTGCTGATGATGTTGGTGTAGATGGCATATTTGAGGTGAAAGCTGAGGACATGGGCGATCCAGAGATTGCTTTGGCCTTGAAATCATTAGGCTGGACTGAGGACCCTACTTATTCAGAAGATTCTGGTATTGAGGTTGTACCTATTAAAAGGGAATCATTATTAACCGAGATCCAATCTCTGAAAAGAGAAGCTCTGAATCAGAAAAAGGTGGGAAATACTAGGGAGGCATTGGCACTGTTAAAGAAGGCAAAAGTACTTGAAATGGAACTTCAGAGTTCTGATTCTCATGGAACTGATTCAATGGGTCAGGAGTACGCAGAACTTCAGAAAGTTTCAATCTCCCAATCTGCGGACAGACCTTTCATTCCTATCAAGGTGGGTGTTGAAAATGTAAATGACAGGAAAGATACAGGCTGAAAATCATCACCAAAGAGTAAATTGATGATCCAGAAAGAGCTTATTGCCCTGAAAAAGAAGGTTCTTTCTTTGAAAAGGGAAGGGAAATTAGATGAGGCAGAAGAAGAATTGAAGAATGCAAAGGTCCTTGAGGAGCAGCTAGAAGAGCTGAATAAAGCTCCCAAAGTCGATCACCCAAGCGCTAGCAATAAGCAAACTTCCAATATTACAACAATTGATCTCGGAAATGAAGCAGAAGTGACAGATGTCAAAGATCACGACATGAATGATCCTACTTATCTTTCACTTTTGAAGAACTTTGGGTGGGAGGAGGAAAATAATGAAAACGTTCCAACCACTTCTTCCAAAGAAAATAAAAGTGCTTCTAAATACACTGGTCACTCATCAGTCTCCTCTGTCACACAGGCCAATGCCAACTTTGAGACTGGGACATCTAGAAAAAGTAAGAGTGATATTCAGAGAGAACTTTTAGGGTTAAAAGGAAAAGCTCATGCCCTGAGACGCCGAGGAGAGGTTGAGGAGGCAGATGAAGTGCTAAAACTGGTCCGATTGTTGGAGATGCAGTTGCAAGAGTTTGAAGTACCAATACAAAAAGAAGTTTTGACTGAAAATAGTGGAGGACATTCTTCCGTGGATGCTTCACAAAATGCCCTTTCTCTTCAGATGGATGGCCTCAATAGCCTCGTCGAAGATTTAGGAAGCAAAAATAAGATCACAGCGGAGAAACCAGAAGTTCGTGAATCCATGCAGCCACATATTCGTGAGCCAAACTCTACTCAAGCAACTATGTCTCAACTTGAGTCAAGTTCCTTTGAACAAGATATCATGGCACATAAGTGGAAGGCTGTCACCTTGAAGAGAGAGGGGAAATTAGTGGAAGCGAAGGAGGAGCTTCGAAAGGCAAAGCTCTTAGAAAAGCGCATGGAGGAGGATAGATCTCATCCTAACACTAGCTCTAGTTATACATCAGCCTCTGATGTCTCTTCTGTAGAAAGGAAAGAGGCCAGTCCAAAGTCAGTCTCCAAGCCATTGTCTGGCCGTGATCGGTTTAAACTGCAGCAGGAGTCGCTTAGTCACAAACGTCAAGCACTTAAGCTACGAAGGGAAGGTAGAAGGGAAGAAGCTGATGCTGAATTTGAACTGGCAAAAGCTCTTGAATCCCAATTGCAGGAGTTGGATGCACATAATAAAACAGGGACTTCTGAAAATGCTGAATCAGTGGATGATGTTAGTGTTGAGGATTTTCTCGACCCACAACTTCTGTCTGCTTTGAATTCAATTGGAATGGAACACACCAGAACTAAGCCCCAAAGCATTGAAAGACCTGAGTCAAATAAATCTGTGATATCAAAATTGGCAATGCCAATGAAGAGAGAGAGAGAGCAGTTAGTTGAAAGGATCAAGGCAGAGAAGGTGAAGGCAGTGAGCTTAAAACGTTCTGGAAAGCAAGCCGAGGCCCTGGATGCTCTTCGGAGGGCCAAATTTCATGAAAAGAAGTTGCAGTCCTTAACTTTCCAGTGATAAATTATCTTCAGATTCTTTCAAGGTTGAGATATTTTCCACTACGATATTTTGCACATTGGCTGCAAGTCAATCTAGATGCTTGAGGTTGGTTGCAAGACTATATGTAGATGAAAAGAATATACAGTGACTTCTTTTTTCAATTTCTCTATGTATTGTAGGACGTCTATGGTTGCTATTTGTAACTCAATTATGATTGAAAAAATGAATGCAGTACATTTTGATTGTAGATGGCCTTCGAAATGGTCTTGTATGTTAGCATTGTTCTTGAAAAACATCTTTCCTTAGGAGAATGGAAATTGTTTTTACTTATGGGTGCCAAGTGCTCTAAACTTTAGCTAGAAGGGCGTCATCATTTGTTAATGAATTATTTATTATTTATTATTTAAGAGCCAACAGAACAATCGGTCTTGGATGCTCATAAACATGGAAGAACGCTCGCTAGTTGCTTTTATTGTGCAATTTTCACCTAGTTGGGATCTAAGTGACTATTCTTACCAAACCCAAACATGTCCTTTCTTGTCAATGAAAAATTGTACACCTCCATGATTTTCGCTCTTTAACTAAAAAGTGGTTCCGAAAAGTCATAAATTATATTATATAGGTTCACAAGTTTGTCATCACATGTGAATCATGTTCATTCTATAGGTATCAAGACTTAGCATGGTGAAGGCCAGCTTTTTGCCAAGTGAAGGAACCATCTTTAAAGAAATGAGCTTGACACAATCGACTAAGTTAAATAAACTTCATCCTAGTTGAGTCATCCAGGTTCAAATTCAATATTTTGGTAGAATTCGTCATAATAGGTCCAAATACATGCTATTTTTAATGTATTGGAACCACCTCTAGTAAATATCAATGTCTAACAAACTTCATAGATAATGGAACTATCGTCAGGTGTCTAATACGCCTAAGCTAATAACTCTCGCGAAAAAAGCATTAGACCTTCTAGAGGAAATCACATCAACTATAAAAGCCTACATCTACACTAATAGTTAGTGGGACACATTTGTTTGCACAACAGGAAGGCAATCTCACATTATATTCTAAGTATTGTTGCTGCTCTTCATAATGTTACGATGACTAGATCATATATTACATTTCATTCGAATAAAAGTAAAATGCTTGCTGAAAAAGTCACCATTCACCTTAGTAGAGATCATTGGTCTCAATGGCAATAAAATCTCTAATTTATAATACTTCTTAAAATATAAAATATTCAATGTATTGAAGGGCTAACTGTCAACTAGATCTATGGTGGTCTCTACTGATGAATAAACGTTATTTCTGCCTCGTTAAATTTCTCATTTTTCTCAGTCATAAAATCATCGTTCACGGTCTTTCAATGTCGACCGAGTTACTGATCATGACGAGGACAAGTTTACATCAGATTTTTGCATTTTAGTCGATGCTAATCTTGTGGCTTAGAGATGTACATTAGGGGTGCGGACCTAACAAAATAAGAAACATTGAAATTATTCAACGCCTACATCTTCTGTCAATCTGTGTTAGTGGTATGCAATGCAAGAATAACAACCAACAAAAATTTAAAGAAATCAGCCTCTTTTTAGATTCAAAAATCCCAATTAGCCAATACTCGAATGCACCACATTTCCACTTGATAAAACAATAGGCTAAAACTCAAGAAAACAAAGTTCACTCCAGAAATCTTTTCCAGCTCAAGAAACTGGAAGTAGAATATGACTTAAAAACCCAGTCCAGCTCCAACAAACTCACCAGGTGATCACAATTCAGAGTTCAGACTAGAGCAAACCATGAGGCGAGCGAAGAGAGCTTTTCTAACTATGTTTCTCATATCTCCATGTAATGATCAAAAGATGGAGTCGACTCTATATATAGTAACCACCTATAAATCTAAAACAATAACAAGTAAACATTGTGGAGGAGATATATTTTATCAAATGGAACTTACTTATCAAGTAGTACATACTACATAGCGTTTGGTTCTATACAGACAAGAAAGAATTGACCTACTCTCTTTGACTCTTCATTACCATCCTATTATCCCAAACCAGAATCAATCTAAGCCGCCTCATTAACAGAAAAGTACCTCCACGTTCTATTTTAAGAAAATATGCAAATGTTTTAGCAATTAAGTAAATGTAGATCAACTTATTCTTTGTCCATAAGCTTATATTCGTAGCTTAGGAGCTTCTCTGGAGTCCTGCGGAAACACTTCGGCATCGCCTTTTCTTCGAAATGCCCTGCATTATTGTTATTAGTGTCACCAAAACTTCCGCATGAAACATTAAATTTAGAAAGAGCATGAGCACTGAGAAAACTACTTAATTAGTGAAAAATAGGAATTGAATGACATGGTTATGCTTCTTATACTGTGCCTCACTAATAAATATCCAATTTTTGACCATTGTAGTAGGATTAATCAAAATCATATCAAACAACTAATGAAGAGACAAATTAGAAGAAGACAAGCACGTTTGGTGTGGATTAAAATCTTGACAGAAATATAAGTAAAAGTCAACAACTAAATTTAAATGCACATTTCATGGGACCTACAACTTTTAAACCAAACATTTCATCAATTTTTATCAAAATATACTAAATATCTGATTTTCAGCTACACCAAACAAGGCTAAATGTTTGGAAAAACAGTAATATGACACAAGTTACAGTCAGAGGCACAGACAAATCAGCCATGGCTTTGCGTAATGTGGATCCAAAAAGAAATGAACTTCTAGTTTAAGTCAAGTCACATTTTTTAAACTAGTCTAATGAGCACAAGTGAGTTCATAGTTAGCAATGAATAACGCTACAATTATATCATATATGCAAGGGAAATTTGTAGAGGAGGTCCCGAACCTTTCAAAATAGTACATATAGGCACTGAACCTTTACATTGGAGTGGATACGTTTCAAACCTTTTAAAAATATATGGTATGAGGACTTTTGGAGAGTTTCTATCCAAAAATCCATTAGTCAACTAAAAGTTTGTTTGACCATTTTTAAAGGAAAATATGGTACATTTCCCAACTAAAACTATTAAAATATTAAAAAAGGTAATAATAAGAAAGAGATATTCTTTTGTGTTATTCTGCAGAAATTTTCCCCACCCCCACTTCCACTCTGCCATGCATAGTAAAGAGATTGGGAAGATTTTCACAATATATATTGTTGGAAAAAATGGTTAATGGGTCAACTTTGAGCCCAAATTTCAGTGGGACCCACCTTTTAATTAATACGGGACCTAGCACATTCACGTTCTACTCCGTGAGATGATTAACGTGAAATATTTATTTATCGAAAACCATTTAAAATTGAATGAAATATTAAGTGTTAAATTAACCCACATAAACTAAGGATTATGGAAGAATTTGATTTTCCAAACACTTATCCCACATAGAAAAGTTAGGTAACTTTGGTGTAGTTTATAAGGTGAAAGTTTGGAATTGGGTTTGGGCCCCAAGGGGTACCAATAGTTTTTGGAAGAGGGAAGATCTATATCCTATTGGGTTCGGTCATAAACTCGCGCGCGCGCCGCCGTCACCGTCCGTCCGACCGGCCGGCTCGACACGAGCACATGTCCGAGTCCGATTCGTGCAGGAACGGGTGGACCTTTACACTATATTAACTTTTTGGGCCAAATTGTAAATAATCAAATTCTTGGGTACAATATGAAATTTAAATTTTGGCTTATTCCGGGTGTTTTATTTTCTTTTAACAGTCGACTGTTTACCGACCAAACAGCCAACTTAACAGACACGACTTTTTGAGGCTTGTCTGAAAGGTGATGACTGTTTGAATGGCCACGAACAAGTCTATAAATAGCCAGCCTTTCTACCAAAAAATACACACCATTTTCATTGCAAACTTTCTGTACTTTGAATCTCATTTCCCTCTCTCTCGTTCTGATATTGTCTCGAAGTAAAAAACACTTTGTTGAGTTCGTTGGAACTCCTACAGATTGCAGTGCTGCTTTCGTAGGAGACGAAAATTTGTTCTATTCTAGGAAACGATTGCTGGACGCCTTTAGCACCATTGAAGGCAGCAAATTCGTTTTAAGGAAATATCGTGAAATCGGTGGACTCGAATTACTGTTTAGATCCTGTTGATCAAATTCTTACATTCAGGTGATTCTGTCGGATTGTTTTCGAAGGAGTAACTTCAAACTCCAGAAACAACATATATATATTGTGAAAACTGAAACTTGAAGCCTTGGAGGCTTGGACAGTGTTTTGGCCTAGGGTGGAGGGATCCAGGGATGACTGTGCACCGGGTATTCAGAGATTAGTTTGCTCATATATGGTGGTGATATCCTACCAATTTCAAAATTGGATCTATTAGATCAAAAAATTTCCCTTTCATCTTCATTTTTAATCTTGTTTTATCGAATCTTCTAAAAGAAATAGAAATCTAAATAATATTTAAGCTAATTTGACAACGTACTTTAGTATTGTTTGTGGCGCGAAGGGGAGAGGATGGTCACATTTTTTTTTTTTTTTGAAGGTTTGGTGGAGACTAATGGCAGTGGGGTGAGGGTGGGAGAAATTTTCTATGGAAGAAGATGAAAGGATTTTCCTTGCTTTTTTTGGTTTTTAATTTGACTATTTTAATTTTTTTAAATGGAAAATGTAAAATCACCATTTTTCCCTTCTAAAAATTGGTCAATCGCTTGACTTTTAGTTAACTAATGAATTTTTGGACATGAAACTGTCTACAGGTCCTACAACATTTTTTAAAAGATTTAGGTCATATCTGCTATATTTAAAGGTTTAAAACCTATTCGCACCATTTTGAAAGGAGTGGGACCTTAGATGCAAATTTCCCAATTTGCAATTGTCTTGTTCAAGAAGCAGTAATAGATTAGTTAGGTCTTCAACTTAAAATATAAAGCTAATGGGACACGAGAACGATATAATGCTCAATTCGTTGCAAAGGGATACACACAAACCTATGAGATTGATTACACAAAGACATTTGCACCTGTTGGCAAAATTGAATACAATCTATGTACTTCTCTTGTTAGCAGCAAACTTAAATTTGCCCTTCCAATAACTAAACATTAAAAAATGCATTTTTAAACGGAGAATTGGAAGAAGAAGTCTACATGACAATACCACCACGTTTTTGCACGGTAAACGAGAGGAATTGAGTCTGCAAGCTCAAGAAGTCTTTATATGGACTCAAGCAGTTATCTAGAGCATGGTATGACAAATTTGCAAAGGTACTGAAGAGGCAAGGATATCAATAGGTACAATCAGATCACACTATGTTCTTTAAACAATATGATGATTGGACCAAAACAATCTTGATTGTATATGTTGATGATATAATTTTGACGAGAGACAATATGGTAGAAATGGAGAAACTAAAGAATGGTCTAGCCACTAAATTCGAAGTAAAAAATCTGGGACAAATACCACACTTCTTAGGTATGAAAGTGGCAAGGTCAAAAACGGACATCAACGTCTCGCAAAGAAAATATGTCCTTGACCTCGTTAGCGAAATTGGAATGTTTGGATGCAAACCAAGTGATACACCAATTGAAGTAGGAAAGAAAATTGAGAATGTAGGCAACTCATTGGACATACATAGATACCATCAATTAGGTAAATTAATCTACTTGTCACACACTAGACCAGATATCACAATTACAGTTAGTATGGTGAGCTAACATATGCACAAACCAAAGGAAGTTCATCTCGAATTAGACGACAAGATACTCAGATACTTGAAGGGATCCTTGGGGCAAGGACTATTCTTCAAGTAAAGTGAACGAAAAGATGTAGAAGTTTTCGCACCGATTGGGCAGGTTCCACAAAAGGTAGAAGATCGACTACCGAATATTGCACCTATGTATGGCTATGGTAACATGGAGAAGCAAGAAACAAATGTAGTCGCCAGAAGTAGTGCTGAAGCAGATTTTAGAGCGGTAGCACAAGGAATGTGTAAAGGATTGTGGTTGAAGAAACTTTTAGAAGAGTTTCATGTTACAATAAGTTCCCAATCAAACTATACTACTATAACAAAGCCGCT